TATCCGAAAGAAAAGATCGCCGTCGCCTGTTGCCAATGGGGGATAGAATACTAGTATAGAATATGGCCATATAGACATTTAGACGTGGCTACACACACGATCGAGCCCCCAAATGTGTTATCTCGAACGATTGTATAAGCATTGCTAGCTGTCGTCGGAACATTAATAGATTCATTTGTTGTATTTATATTGTTTTTCGAAAACTTATTGGGCAGAAAAAGCGAAAAGAAGTCGCCTGATAAAGCCGGTTGCCGCTGGTCTTCTGGCATTTCATATTTCTTCCTCTGCTGTATAGTTTTTTTGTTTTTTTTTTTGATTTTTATGGTAAACACACATAAGCGAAAAGAAAGGCGAAGACGGGGCTTCGGCAAATAGAGAGGGCGTCGCTGTCGTCAAGAGCTTAAGGGTACAGTCAGCACTCAGCGTTCTCAGCTCAATTCGCGGTTCGAAATGACGACTTGGCTCACTCAGCAGAAAGCCAAAGAAAAAACGGAGAAGAGAGCAGAAGAAAGGGTCTGCAGACATGAGAATATCCCAACCAAAAGCGTTAGAGGTTCTACAAAAAATATATGAAAAGTGCTAGATAGTTACGGTATTAATGATCTTATATGTTAGGAACTTTTCCAGAAAGTTAAAATTAGGAATTAAAAATATGAATCTCTAATAGTTCTAATAATACTCTTGATTATCTTAAAGTTTATTACTATAAAACAAAGATTACGAGCCTTAAAAGATTAGAGATTCCAGTAAGACCCTTGAGGAGCCTATTTTTAACTTGTTTACAAGTAAAACGGCACATAATTTGTCGCCTTTAGTCGAGAAATGGAAATGTACTATAGAAACCAGACGTTCCCTTTCAAAAACCATAATACCCAAATAAAAGTACTCCCAGTACATATAATTTGTAATTTGCAAATCCGTATACTCATCGTATTTTTGTTTATAAGTTCCAGTTGCCGGGCCCCAAATGAATTCACACAGCTGATAATGTGGAGAACTCATTTCGAGTGCGAAAACCGAATCATGATTTGGTTTTTTTTTCGTTTTATAAAGAAACCTAAAGTTCGCTTGATTCATGGTCACTATCGGCACATGGCAACACGACAACATTTAATTTAATCCACAGAACTAAACTAATTTTAGTTTTTATAGACTTGTTTTTTGGGGGCTCGTCCCGTGTTTTAAATTAGGGAAGTCATTAATTCAGCTAGTTCTGCTTATAAAGAGGCCACTCAATGGAACTTGCTCTTGTCAATAAATATTTATCGATCCATAAACGCGAAGCACTTTGCTCTTTCAAGTTTTTACAATTGAACACGCTTATTAAATTCGAATTACAAGCAGGAAACTCTGGCTTATCTAATCGCCGCCTTTCCAAAAGATATCAAAATTAAATGTGCCAAGCAAATAAAGATAAGATGGGAGGTGGTTTTTTATGGGTTCTTGAGACTGTTGCGCCATCGGCGAAAGGTTTCCCCACTTCTGCCCAGATGCAATGATTTTCCTTTGGGGGCACGTGCTTGGAAAAACCTGAAAACAAGCCAAGAAATGTTAGCTTGTTGTATCATCGAGGAAAACTTTTGCTTTCCGCGAGGAATTCGTGTAGTTCGAGGTCTATTTTTGGATTTGTCTATTGGATTTAGGCCAAAAATGAAAGCTGCATCAAGGTTGCTTTAGGTTCTGAATGTACACCTGTCGTATACGTAATATGTGCTTATGCAATTGTTTGGTTCCCTTTTTCCTCAGGTATTCGTTTCTCTTTGGATGTGTCACGCGATGAGGTCAAAGCCCTTTCCGCCCTGATGACCTTCAAGTGCGCCTGCGTCGATGTGCCATTCGGTGGTGCCAAGGCTGGTCTGAAGATCAACCCCAAGGAGTACTCCGAGCACGAGCTGGAGAAGATCACCCGTCGCTTCACCCTGGAGCTGGCCAAGAAGGGCTTCATTGGACCCGGCGTCGATGTGCCCGCTCCCGACATGGGAACCGGCGAGCGTGAGATGTCCTGGATCGCCGACACCTATGCCAAGACCATCGGCCATCTGGACATCAATGCCCATGCCTGTGTCACCGGCAAGCCCATCAACCAGGGCGGCATCCACGGACGCGTCTCGGCCACCGGACGCGGCGTTTTCCACGGCCTGGAGAACTTCATCAACGAGGCCAACTACATGAGCCAGATCGGTGGGTAGATCTTGGAGAATATATGTTCCTAGAAGTATTATTTACATATATCTTAATCCTTAGGCACCACTCCCGGCTGGGGCGGCAAGACCTTCATCGTCCAGGGCTTCGGTAACGTGGGTCTGCACACCACCCGCTATCTCACCCGCGCCGGCGCCACCTGCATCGGTGTCATCGAGCACGATGGTACCCTCTTCAACCCCGAGGGCATTGACCCGAAGCTGCTGGAGGACTACAAGAACGAGCACGGCACCATTGTGGGCTACCAGAACGCCAAGCCCTACGAGGGCGAGAACCTCATGTTCGAGAAGTGCGACATCTTCATTCCAGCCGCCGTCGAGAAGGTCATCACCAGCGAGAATGCCAACCGTATCCAAGCTAAGGTAGGTGGATGCAAGATAGGTGATCTTAACTCGAAACAGGATTCTAATTTGGTCGAAATAAGAAAGACACAAAGAAGAATCGGCGTGTGCCCAATGCAAGATAGGCGTGTGACTGCAGGCTTGCTTTGTGGCCTTACAAAAACTACACCCAAAAAAATCTATATGAAATGCAGATCGATTTTACATTATTTAATATCAATTTTAATTTGATATGCGGCCAGGTAAATTTGAACAGGTCGAAAAGAGTATTTCATGTAAAAACGATATGGGTTTTGCATGACCTGAAATTTACATGGCCATATCGATTTTACGGGAACATGGTTTTTTTCTGTGTGTAAGTAGATGCAAAGAAGAATTGGAGTGTGCCCAACGCAAGATGAGGGTGATCGCAGGAATGCTTTGTGGCCTTACAACAACAGAAAAAGCAACTCTGATCTAGTTTATAATCTAGATTTTACAACTTACCTTATAAGAATACAATTTAATTCAACTTAACTTAAAATTCCAGATCATTGCCGAGGCTGCCAACGGCCCCACCACCCCCGCTGCCGACAAGATCCTGATCGATCGCAACATCCTGGTCATCCCCGATCTGTACATCAATGCCGGAGGTGTCACCGTCTCCTTCTTCGAGTGGCTGAAGAACCTGAACCACGTCTCCTACGGTCGCCTGACCTTCAAGTATGAGCGCGAGTCCAACTACCATCTGCTCGGTAAGTTAAATCACTATATCTTAAAACAGTAGGCTCTTGAAGGCACCTGCTCCTCATCTCTCTATCTTTTCTATCTTTTCGGCTCATTGATCATGCCATTTCACAGATCGGTTTATGGATTACTTAAGCTATAATTTAGAGAACACAAAACCTGTACAGAATAGCGCTTGCTCTTTCGGCATTTGCTCTTCCTAAACTGGGTTTAGACTTAAACTTGTTTCTCCTACTTCCAAAATTTCGTTTTCCCCTACTTTACTTTCGATCCTATCCACCGACACACCAACAAAACCACCAACTATAAGATCGTTATTTAATTTTGAAGTATCATCTAAGTAATTCGTTGTTTATTCTTCTTCTTTTTTCCGTTTCTCTATCAACAATGTAGCCTCAGTCCAACAGTCAATTGAAAGAATCATTAATGACGGTACATTCTAATTATTAATTCTTCTTTTCGTTACCACCTATTTATCCATCCTGAAACCTAAAACCTAAAGCCCGAAAAAAAAATATTTTTCTACCTCATGTAAACTTTACTATTTATGTTTTGTAGTTAGTTTTGTTCTGTTGTTTTTGCATTATCCTGAATTAAGCATTCCGTGTCACACTAACTTTAAGGAACCATTAAATTTCATGCTTAAAAGTTTCTGTAATTATTTGGTGGCTTAAAACCTTGTCATATATATGTACTTTTTCCCTTAAGCATGTGGCACTCTCAACTAATCGCTTTTCGTCCTTTTTGTATCCCCCATCGATGTCTTCCTGCAGAATCCGTGCAAGAGTCCCTGGAGCGTCGCTTCGGCCGTGTGGGCGGTCGCATCCCCGTGACCCCCTCCGAATCGTTCCAGAAGCGCATCTCCGGCGCCTCCGAGAAGGACATCGTCCACTCCGGTTTGGACTACACCATGGAGCGCTCCGCCCGCGCCATCATGAAGACGGCCATGAAGTACAACCTCGGCCTGGACCTCAGAACCGCTGCCTACGTCAACTCCATCGAGAAGATCTTCACCACATACCGCGATGCCGGCCTGGCCTTCTAAGCCCATGTTTAGCCCCCAGACTCTTAACTAGTTAATTAAGCAATCGAACTCAAGAGCATAACTATTGCTATTGCTCCATGCACCGCCGTCTTAGATGAAAATGTCACAAAAAAGCCCCGAAATGCAAGAATCGTAATTTATATCTATGGCAATTGGAGCTGGCCGGAATTACTCTTTTTAACAACTTTCGCCCGTGTTTCGTATTAAGTTGAACAAGTTGCGAGCTTATTATTGTTGATTTTCTGTAATTTTTAAGTTAATGAGCGTCAAAGTGAAGCAATTGCATTTTCAATTATGTATCGCAACGTCTCGTACCGTCAAGTCAAACTCGCACGTTTATCGTACGATCGCTCCGTTGCCGTAACATTAAAATAATCAAATATACAACAAAACTAAACTCTAAACAAGTGCATTTTAATTGTCAATTGGTGTTGGCCACTTAGCTGATCACAATGGAATACAATTGTTTGTCTCGATAATAAACTACAACTAGTGGTTACGCAAAAACGTATACAATATCGTTGGATCGATTGGAATGTATCAAAAATATATATGGGTTCTATATAATACTATAAGTACACTTTTGTGGCGAAAAAAACTTAGATACGTATACAAATTGGAAGAGGTGTAATAATCTGCTTACAAGCTACAGGGTATAAGAAAGTCTCCCGGATATCTGAGTGCATGTCAACGTTGTGCAATCTTTTCTTTTAGGAGTTGAGTAGCGAATCAAAGAACCAAAGATTTGGGAAACAATTGCTGCTTCACATAGTCGTTGATCATCTCCATAAGCAGCTCGCGCGTGACCTTCGGATGCTGCAGCACGTAGCCAAAGTCTTTCAGCTTCGTGTTGTCCAAGTAGAGGTGCTTGTGCTGCAGCTGCTCCTCATCGAGGTAGGGAGTCAGCGGGGTGTTGTCGATGCCGTTGCGCTGGCAAATCTCTGCCCAGGGTGCCATGTGCTTGTCGTTGATCTCGCCAACGGTGTCCGTGGGATAGAGCTGCAAAAAGCAATGGAAATGATTCAGAAAGTATAGCTTAACTTATAGGAAGTATTTATATGATAATAATGCATTACTTAAACCATATATTATTGCTCAATAGTCCTACCTTTGCCAAATTCGACATGACCAGTCCGAAAAAGTCCAAATTGATGTCGAAAATATCCACCAGTAGATTGCTAATGCTGCCCTGCGTCGATGCTGAATCATCGCAGATATTGTAGATCTGGCCGGCGGTCTTGGGACTCTGAGCCAATTGCCAAACGGCCGCGCACACGTCCGCTACGTGCACCGTATTCAAACGCATGGCATCGTTCCACAGCAGCTTCATTGTCTCGTTGAGGTATTTGTAAATGGCAGCGATTATAATGCGCGGCACTGTGAGCGAGAAAAGTGATTTGTCAATTACATCAATTATCGGGAATCAGTGAAGACGGGAGGGAGACTCACTCAAATAGCGCTTATCGCCAATGCCATAGACCACGGGCAAACGGACGACCGTGTAGCTGAGATCATCGATGTTGGCCAGCTCCTTCTCCACTTTCAGCTTCTGCCTGGCCACGCCCGTCCAGGGATCCAACTTGCAGTCCTCCTTGAGCGCCGTCTTTTCGCTGCTGTTCACGCATCCGGAGCTGAGCTCCACGTAGCGTTTGACCCGCTGGTTGGCCGCCTCGTTGGCGCAGTTCAGGCTGAGCTTGAGGATGCCCTCCTTGTAGACCGCGTCGTCCTGGTTGGCACGCGTCTCGGCCGCACAGTTGATCACAATGTCCCAGACCCTTCCGGTCGTGGGGTGTGGCGCAAAGGCCGCCTTGCAAGAGGCTGGAAAAACAAAGGGGAGCGTTCGAGAACCAGTTTAGGTGCATTGGCGTTAGGGTGGCTCGTTTTGGGTGGGGATAATACTGTGATTGTTTGGTAATTCTAGGTAACTAAGTTGTTTAGATAGCTAAAAATTTAATTTAGGGTTTTTTTAAGAGAAGGATTTAAAATGTATGTAAAATTCATTATAATATAAACTAAGGGATCTTCAAAATATTTGATATTTTAGATTTACTTAATTAGGCATATCTAGATCTAACTGCCTTAGATGTTTTAACCTTGCACAAAATCTAGAGTTGAACTAGGTTTTTTTTAAGAGAAGAATTTACCATTTATGTAAAATTCATTATAATATAAACTAAGGGATCCCCAAAATATTTTAAATTTTAGATATACTAAATTATTCATATCTAGATCCAACTGCTTTAGATGATTCATTTGACCTTGCACAAAATCTAGAGGTTTTTATCTTTAAAGAATCCCCTTATTTCACCACATCATTATTCACATCCTCCTACTGAGCGAGCCACCCTAATGCTAGGGCTACCTACCGGCGTTTATTAGGTTGGCGCTGCAGAACTCCACCCGATCGCTCTCGAAGACCCGCGCCTGCTCCTCGTTCAGCCAGGCCATCTGGGGAGGGGTCTTATCGGCCAGCCGTATTTCCTGCGCCAGTTCATTGTCCAGCAGATAAGTGGCCAAGTTGCGTCCGATGAAGCCGCAGCCTGCGGGAAAGAATACACAAATGCACAGCGGTGGCGATGCAGTTGGTGATAAGCGGAAGTGGGGGCGGAGGAGGCTGCTGCGGGGGCCTACTTACCACCCAAAATCAGAACAGTCGGCTTTTCAGACATGCTGCAGGCGCGACACGGTCAACCGGAATGGAAATGGGAATGGGAATGAGTCAAGTCGAGAGATGGATGATATATTTGTTAGCGGTCGAAACGGTTTTTTTTGTTGTTTGGCTGATTTTGTAGTGTGACCTTTCATCGCCGCTGCCGAAATACTGAGTGCGGTCCCACTGTGGCGCACAGTTTCAAAGTCTGAGGCTTATAGCATATTCACACCTTATATTTTTTGAGTGCTCTATAAGGATTTTGTCCTTTATTGTCTTTCATCCAACATTTTTATGCAATATTTAGTCCATGAGTTTCTTACAGGATAAATTGGAATTGTTGATAAACGCATATATATTTTTATACCCTTGCAGAGGGTATTATGATTACAGTCAGAAGTTTGCAACGCAGTGAAGGAGACGTTTCCGACCCCATAAAGTATATATATTCTTGATCAGCATCACTAGACGAGTCGATCTAGCCATGTCCGTCTGTCCGTCTGTCCGTCCGTCTGTCCGTCCGTTTCTACGCAAACTAGTCTCTCAGTTTTAAAGCTATCGGGATGAAACTTTCGTAAAAGTCTTCTTTCTATTGCAGGTAGTATATATGTCGGAGCCGACCGGATCGGACAACTATATCTTATAGCTCCCATAGGAAGGATCAAAAAAAAAAACGTAAAAAAATTCTAGCTCCGGTGTTTTTTAAAATTTTACCTTCTACTCTTGGGAACATTTTTTTTTATATAATTCTGAATTTCGGTTTTTTTGTTTTTTAAATCGGATCACTATATCCTATAGCTGCCATAGGAACGGTCGAAAAATTAAATGGAAATTAATGGGAAAAAAATTATATCTTTGTTGGTTTTTATTACAGTTCCTTCTACTCTGGGATATGACTATTTTGAAATATTTCCGAATTTCGATTTTAATATTTACAAGAAAGGAAGCTACCTTCGGCCAGCCGAAGCTTATATACCCTTGTAGATAAAAGAGTACTCACTCGGTGCAGTTCCAGGGATTCCAGATTCAGCGTTTCGATTTATTTCAATTTTGTTTTTAAGTAGTCAAGAATCAAAACGCCTACTTCCTACAAAGTTACAATGAATTTTCTTATATTTGTTTGGGAGCCTTAAGATATAGTGGTCCGATCCGGCTGGCTCCGACATATGTACTACCTGCAATAGAAAGAAGACCTTCGGGAAAGTTTCATCGCGATAGCTTTAAAACTGAGAGACTAGTTCGCATAGAAACGGACAGACGGACAGACGGACAGACGGACAGACGGACAGACGGACATGGCTAGATAGACTCGGCTATTGGTGCTGATCAAGAATATATATACTTTATGTGGTCGGAAACGTCTCCTTCACTGCGTTGCAAACATCTGACTGAAATTATAATACCCTCTACAAGGGTATAAAAAGATCGAACTACTATATCATATAGCTGTGATAGAAACGATCGAAAAATTAATGTGAAATAATAAGAAATTTAACATTTTCGCGATTTGTAAATTAATAGAATGATCTGCAAGGGTATATAAGCTTCGGCTTGCCGAAGCAAGCTTCCTTTCTTGTTTTATCTGTGATCCGGAGTTTTTTTTAAATAAGATATACCCATATTTAGCAAATCCCTAATTAAAGGTCCTTAAAATAAAGGTGTAGGAGATTCGCTTAAGTTTTAAATTCTTTCATTTCAGTCAGCTGTTCATCAGGTGTTCGATTTCAATTTCAGAAGTTTCAACAACCTCAATTTATTTTCGATAATTTATTCTATCGAACGGAAGTTGTCAAAAAACGGAAACGGCAAAAAGCGAGGAGTAATTGCGACAACTTGCAAATTCTCAGAAACTAAGGAATCCGAGTAAACAGCGATAATGGATGTGGACGAGGACGAAGTGCCATCGAGCAGCAACCAGGGCGAGAAGAAGCGCTTTGAGGTGAAGAAATGGGACGCCGTGGCTTTGTGGGCTTGGGACATCGTGGTGGACAACTGCGCCATTTGTCGCAACCACATCATGGATTTGTGCATCGAGTGCCAGGCAAACCAATCCTCTGCCACCAGCGAGGAGTGCACCATCGCCTGGGGCGTCTGTAACCACGCCTTCCACTTCCACTGCATCTCCCGCTGGCTGAAGACCCGTCAAGTCTGCCCCCTGGACAACCGCGAATGGGACTTCCAGAAGTACGGGCGCTAAAATCTCGGAATTCAAAAATCCATTCCCCAGGAGTACCATTTACCTAATCTTTTGTTACGCAAAAAATAAAAGTTGTAGAAAATGGAGAAGGCTTTCGTATTCCTGGAAATAGCTTTAAATCAAGGATGTCCCTTTAAAATCATTTGGGGTAGCTAGGGAAGTTAAAGAGAAATCCTGAGTGAAAAGTTTCACATTTTCACAAACAAAATGAATGTTTTAATTTTTTGTATATTAATTTAATAATACATTTCCCATTCATATTTATTAGGTTGCTGTGTAGTAGCAATTGATAAATAAATCAAATTTAGGAAAATAAAATGCTTTTAGAATAGTTAAAAAGCCTGTAATAAATTTGCGAAAAAGAAAGAAAACTTTTATTTCTATAGCCAGTGCAACACTCTTCTTAGCGTGGTATTTTCCTGCGTCACTCGAACACCCCTAACGCCGTTTTTGCTCGTGATCTGCCCACGGTCACACTTGCATTTTAGCTGGAAAAAAAGCTGCAGGAAAAAATTGGCAATAAAGAGCAGGAGCAGCCGTAGCAATGGACCAGGCCGAAGTGGGCAGTGCGTGCCTAGCAGCGCCCAAGCGCCGCTTCCCGGCCACCGCGGGATGTGGGCGGGAGTCGGCCGCCACGCCCCCGCAGCCTCCGCTGCCGCAAATTTCGGCCGAGGAGGAGCCGCAGATGAAACAGCGCAAAAGGGAGGAGGAGGTGGAGGAGGAGGAGCAACTGGACGGCGTCCAGGATTCAGGGCGCAACCTGCTCGACTTCTGCGACGAGCTGCTCATCGAGATCTTCCAGTACCTGGACACATTTTCCATCATGGCGGTGATGCAGTGAGTCCACCGTTATCAGCTGCGTTGCAAGAATCTCTGGGGAATCCCTAAATTCTGTTTATCCACCGTATATCACTAAAACTTTTTTAGAACGGATGTATTTTATCGAAAATACTTAGAAATTCTTCCAATATTTCAGTTTTAGTAATATCTCTGGATAGTAATCCATATATACCAAAAATGGTTCTTAAAATGATATATTTCACTAAAACTTTTTCAGTAGTGAATGAAATTTCTTCATATTTTTCTGTTTTAGTAATATCTCTGAATAGTAATCCCAATTAACCAAAAAAATGGTTCTTAAAATGATTTATTTCAGAATATCTAAACCCCTTTTTTCCTTATTAACCATTTAATATCTGGTTTTGATCCATAATTGCCTTAAACAGATTTCTGTAACCTACATCTTATAAATGATTTTCATTTCCCTAATAACCCACTATATTTTCCAGCTGCTCGCCTCGTTTGGAGAGTCTTCTCTTGGACCACCGCTTCTATCACAGCATAGATCTCAGCAACGGACCGCTGCCCATGGGCATTCTCGAGGAGATTCTCGGTAGAGCCACCGAAAGAACGCACACCATCAAAATCTGCGGACCGCCATCCTCTCAACATGTAGCCGGCGAAGGCCGCCAGTTTACCCAGACCCTGAGCTCGGTCTTTCCCAAGGTAGCCACCACACTAAAGGTGCTGGAGATGCAGGGCGTCAGCCTGGACTTCGAATATGTGAGTGGAACTCGTAGAAGATCTAGAAGAATATGCCTTAATTAATTTTTTCCCCCTTTTAGATACACATTTCCGAGTTTCCCTCCTCGCTGAAGCGTCTCAAGCTGAACGATTGTAGCGTCAAGGTGGGCAACATGGCCAAGAGCATATTCCACTCCATAGAAGTGCATCTGGTGGACCTAGAGGATCTCAGCATCGAGGACAACACCTGGTTCGAGCCCTACTACATCATGGGCCTGTCGAAGCTGCCTTCCCTGCGACGTCTCAGTCTCAAGGGCTGCCAGATGCTCTGCAAGTTTGTGCCCTACGGCAGCATGGCGGCTCGCTTTGGTTTCCAAAAACTAGAGGTTGTCATTGACTAATTTTTTAGCTCAGTTATTAATCTCCTTTAATTTTAGTCGCTAGACCTACGTTTGACGCCCATCAACAACCCAGATCTGCAGTGCTTCAGCGCCATCGAGAACCTCAAGGAGCTGCTGCTGGAGTCGCCGCCAAACCCGCCCGCCGAACAGACCGCCGCCGAGAAAACCAACAACGGCAGCGCCACCGACGAGGCAGTCTCCCCGAAGCCGGATTCTGTGAAGGTCCTCAACGACGACGAGCCATCCACATCACGCGCCGCCATGGAGCACCTGCGAGCATGCATGCAGGGCAAGGAGGAGGGCAGCGATATGTTCAACTCGGACAACTGCAACGAAAGAAAGGAGGAGGAGCCGGCGCCGGTGGAGCAACCTTCGAATAGCCAAGAACTGGAGGGGAAAAGAATTCGGGGTCCCTCGGAATCCGAGGATGAGGACACCTCCTCCACATCGGGCACTTCAGCTTCCTCTTCTGACAAGTCAGACGTAGCATCACCACCCAGAAATGGCCATAATGGCGGTCCACCTGTTCGCTCACCTGTGTTGGTGATTTCGTTGCCAAGCGTGGTGGCCGAACTTCCACCACGTCCGCCGGCAGCGGATGCGGACAACGCCGAGGCTCCCGGCCAGGAACCCCGAGCGGAAGCGAGACCCACGCCACGGGCCTACATCTATGTGCCCGAAGTGAACGAGAACCGCGAGCGACAGCAGCGGAATATGATGGCCATAATTGAGCAGTCGGCGGAGCAGTTTCGCCACCTACGCGGAAATAATCCCGCCTTCAGTCGTTTCCTACCGCGACACGATCAGGTGATCTACATGAATCCCACCATGAATGTCCTGTGCTCCAATCGCCGCCATCGTTCGCATCAGCGTCCCAACTACGAGCAGGTGGTGCAGCATCCGATGTTTTGGAATATGCTCGATCCACTCGATCGGGATCACAATCGACGACTGCGCCACCGGCCGACAATTGCATCACCGACATCACCTCAATACTACGTAACCGATCGGGCGATGTACAGCTTTGGCAGAGCTCCGAGACCCGTCCAACCGGACGTCGTATGGATTCGAAACGTCAACCGCTCGCCGGACAACCGATTGGAGCGGCTGTCGTTGCGCAACTACCACCTCATCACAAACAACACGCTGGAGCATCTGGTCCAGTGTTCCCCCAATCTGGTCTACATCGATGTGAGCGGCACCAGCATATCGCTCGAGGGATTGCGGCGCTTCAAGAGCAGCAAGCCCGAGTGCGAAGTGGTGGCCAATCACTTGGAGGTGACCACCGAGCCACAGCAGGAAGAGGAGGAGGACGATGTGTTGGTGGTGCAGCCCAGCGTGGAGAATCCACAGCATGACCAGCAGCCACCAAAATCGCCACCACCACCACCTACATCTCAGGAACTGGCGGCCCCATAGAAGATTATCCTTTAACTGTACCTATTCTTTGTATCATGTTGTACTGTAAACATTTTTATTGTCGAAATAGGCCGTGCTGGATTATGATTTTTAGCAAGACGACGATGACGACGACGACATGGCCAAGCCGATGAACCCACAACGCTGGCTACAAGCGAGTGCTGTAGCTCAGCCCACACTAGTATTACGTTCCAAACTAATCAAGCCCTTGTACTATACGCCAGGCTCAATGCATTGTATAAACCCAAGAATCCCAAGACCCCTCAAAAAAACCAATTCCTCTAGTTAGGCATTAAAGAACGCGCGATCACTTTGGTATATGTATGTACAATGAAATGTTTATTTGGTAGCTCTTTAGCATGTAAGGACAGACAAATGTTTGGGTGTTCGGTGTGTCGTTGCTAGAAATTTATATAAATTCTAAAAAAAACAACGAAAAGTGTAAAGTGCGCAGTCTACTTGTCGGTGCCATTGGAGGACTCCTCTTCTTCGGCATCCGAGTCGTCATCGGTATCTGTATCCGGTTCCGATTCGCTGGAACTCTGACAATCGGCTATCTCGCCGGTGAAGAAGATCACCGCCTTGGGAATCACGCGCTCCTTCAGGTAAAAGCCCAGTTCAAAGTCGTTTTGCAGTACGGCCTGTGGCTAAATGAATGTAAGGTGTTTTCTAGTCAATAAACTACTATGATCTCACATTGATATCGCAGTAATTGGGATCCTCGGTGTCGTCAGGCAGCACAGGCGGCGAGAAAAAGTCAAAGAACGATGGCTGGTCATGTGGGCCTTTTTTTCAAGGATTGTTTTAATACAATTAATTAGGATGGTATTATATAGATCTTACCCTTATTACCACGGTCCTTGGCCTGCTTCCAATCGATTTTACAGCCCTCGCATTTGTAGATCTCGGCGCCGTCGTAGGATAGTGGATCATCCGGATCCGGCAGGCAGTTGAGGAAGTACGTCTTGGTCAGCACAGTGTTGGTGAAGTAATCGTTGGGATCAAAGTGGAACTCAATGTCGAACTTCACCACCGGATTGTTGTGCAGTTTGGAGCGTACGTCGCACAAGCACTGCGGTGGAAATTGTATTATTCTCGATAAATATTCAAGTAATTAAATAAAATATATTATGAATTATAGGTAATTAAATATTATAGCCCCTGATTAGTATTTTAAATTATATGGTTAATTTTGCACAGAAACTCAGTTTTTCTTCGTTACCATTTATAATGGCCAAAAACCTACCTCTAAAATAATAAAAGAAAATATATTATGAATCATATAATAATAGAACTCCTGATAAATTTATCAATTATCAATACATAATGATTTTGAATTATATTCTCAGTTTTGCACAGAAACTCAGTTCTACTTGCTTATAATAATCCTAAAAAACCCAAATACTCACCTCCAAAATTTTTTCGTCTTTCTTGCTAATGAACTCTGTATAAGAGGCCTTGAGCACCTTTAACCAAAAGTTAGGAACACTTTGATTCGGTTCCGAATCACCATAGTTTTGCTTCCTAAATTCACTGTTAAGAAGAAAGACTCGATTAGGATCGGCTTGTACAGACCATATGTGACTTACTCCAGGATCTTCTTGCGCTTATCGAAGATGACATTGTGCTTCACCTCGTAGTCCTTCTCCATGTTATAAATATCGCGCTGCAGAGCACAATCTAAAGTGATTGTCTCCAAATAGAGCTGCTTCAGTTCGGTAATCGTCTTCTTCTCATCCTCGGTGTACTTCAGTTCCGACTTAAAGCACACATTATATTCTGGTTAATCCTGAAAATCAAGCGACTTACATTGGAATCGGCTTTCGGGGGAGCCGTATATTTAACTCGTGGAGGGTTCCTGTTGCGTATGGTTTCCATTTCTGGATCAGAAATCAGTTAAGAAAGTTAAGAAAGTTTGGCTTTTCACTGCGTATTTTTTTCGAGCTTAAATTTTGTTGGATTCGTTGTGACTATCGTCGTGAGAATGAGGGTTGTACTAAGATTTCTCCAAACCTTCCAGCACAAAAGTCAGCGCCCACTTACTAAAAAAATATGGAACCTTACTTTTCTAAACACTTTTAGTTTGGAATTAAATATGTTATCTAAATAAAATCGAAAGAAATAAATAAGAACCTAAATAATTAATATTATTATTATAATATTAGAAACTCTTCCCGATTTTTTTTTCTAAAATTCTCAATAAACTTTAATAGTAATTTTTAATTTTTCTGGGTACATAAGTATTTTGGCTTTCCACCCACTTTTTCGCCCAGTGCAAACGTCTTAGGAAATATTGTTTTTTCTTGAAGAACCCCTTCGCTTTATGTTGCCATTGAGATGCAGGCCATGTTTATTGGCAATTTAACGCACATTTAATTCCTGTTTTTTCCTGTTTATATTTTTGGTTTCCCTATTTTTTTGTTTGCCTCCGCCAACTTTTCATTTGGCATGTAATTAAGTGTGGGCCAGATGTTTGGGGTGGATGGGGTGGTGGGTTGGTTTGCCTAAGTGTATGCAAATCACGTGCTGAGTGCTGCCGAGGGTTCAGGTTCAGTTTCAGTTTCAGGACATCGCCTCCTGGAGTCTGTTAAATGGACCGAGGACTCAGTTCTCCCGGAGAACTTCTCCATATTCGGTTCCCAGAGAGTTCTGCCCGCTTTTGGGTTGTCTTTTGTCGCTGGTTTTAATAATGTGGGCCAGGCTTAGTGCCATATGTCAGGCGGCTGTGAAAAACAACAGAAACATACAAAAAAAACAAAAAAAAGAGTGAAATTGTCGCTTAGGCAAACATTTCAAAATGAAATTATGAGTGGGGCAGCGAGCAAAATAAAAAGTGTAAACAAATTTAGCCAAGCGGAAGTCCAGACACACACACACACATACAGCCGCAAAGGGAAAGCCGCAGAGGAAAAGCGGGAAAAGCGAGATCGCATTGTTTGCTCACAAATACACATGGCACATGTACGCATATGCACTTGTCCAGTTTCCACAGGACATCCACAGGACCTCCCTTTCCCCCTCGTCGCTGTCCTCACATTTGATATTATTAAATTTTTCCCTAAATACCGCTGGGAAATTAAAAAGAAATCATAAGGCAAATAGTGTAAGGCAGCTAGCCATCTGATGATGACGGCTTTGGCTGGCCAATTCCGAGATTTAGACGAGTGTATACTTACAGAGAGCGAAAATCAAGGCAATTAGTTAAAAATATTTATCAAATATTTGTACTTTTTGAACGATTTTTTTTTAAATTAAAACTAACTTTATGAAAAATTAAATATTTTAATGTGTTATAACTGTAAAATTTGATCAGTTCCAATTTCTGTAACTCATTGATGTAAATCGTGAATCTTATTATTATGAATCAACTTATTAATTTTAAAAAATATGATCATTATAAATTTTAAATACATATAAGATAAGTATTACCATAGATAATGGCCCACGGGCCTTATGACACATTTTTCAGTGTCATAACGCCCATTACTAATAATTTTAAACAGGAAAATAATATTTATACATTCATAATGAAGTGATATTTATCCATTTTAAAATCTCACAATATTTTATTAAAGATTTTGGACCAATTTCTCGGTAAAACCCGTTGATTACTGGAAAACATTTAAGATTTCCTTGCCCAAGTACGACGATATTTCTTCCCGGTGCCCTGGCTCTTTAAGTGCTATGCCATTTAAGCTGTTTCGGGCATTTTCAATTTACATTTCGGTCATTCAATTAGGAGGTGCATAAAATTTAGCTACATAAGTAATGGAGCAGCCTCATCATCATCATCATGATGAGGAGTTTGAGGAGCACGGGGATCATGGCCATCGCACCCACGTGATTGCCGTTCGTCGGAGGTCGTCAGTGCCGGCAGCGTCAACATAGTTTGAATTTAATTAAAACCAAAATTAGTAAAGCCCAGTACCTGCAGTACAGAACGGTTTGGAGGAGCAACAGTTACTTGGCACAGGGATTAGAGCTGCTGCTCCTGGTGTTCCCAGCTCCTTGCTGGGGAAAAGTGCATGTCTGCAGAAAATCGAATCAGCAGCTCAACGTCCTCATCCTCCGTTTTCCTTCCACCTGGACCTGGAGCTCCTACGACCGGCGTCATGCCGAAATATCTGCAACAAAAGCATAAGATGTAGTGCGGCATTTGATGATGAAACGACGTGTTAATTAAGGTCATAATAATTCAACTTAAATTGAAAACTTGCCCGGCCAGCAGCTACATTTTTGGATGGGTTGGGGGAAAGGACGCAGGACGAAGGGCATTGCATCGCTTCGCATCGCATCCTCGGAATCCTTGCAGGCTAAGCTGCACCCAGAGAAATGTGGGACTATTTTTTAGGTAACGTATGACCTAAAAAATTTAAATAGACTAAAATTTCAGATTTAGGTAATGGGTTACCTAAAAATATTAGCATGTGGACTATGTTCCTACTTTTTAGGTAAAGCTAAAGAGATTTTTATAGGTCATCGTAACCTTAAAATTGGTCTATAAGACCTAAAATTTAGGAATAATTTGAAGTCGATTTTCACTCACAATTTAATACAAATATTGGTCCCTAATATTAAAAAACAAATTATTCGGTTTTTTAAGTTTAATGTTAAAAAAATTTATTAGACTTTTCTTAAAGCTAGTGATGGAAAAGTATTAATATATAAAATCAATACCTACGAGGACTATTTTCCTACTTTTAAGGTAATAGTGCCCTATTCTAAAAATAGAATTCGCCTGAGCCCCTTGAAGCAGGCTTTGGTTTTGCCGCAGGGCCTTTAAGTAGTTCCGTAGACCAGAGGCTAGCCTATTGGACTCTCGCGCAGAAGACCCGAGATCGATTCCCACCGAGGAAAAAATAAAGTGATTGTTTTTTCAGAAAGATAAAATATTTGCTTATCCGAATAATACAATATAAGCAATTAAAATAATCAAATAAGTTACAATCAATAGTAAAAATGTTAGCTTTTTTAAAAACATCTAATATTTAGGTAATTCTGACCTAAAAATCTAGTCCACTAGACATTTTTTTAGGTAACCATTACCAGAAATAAATTCAAGTCTGCGTACAAAATATAGTCCACATGGACAACATTTTAGGTAATGCATGGCCTTGGCGCGTTTTTCTGGCCATGTTTCCTAAAATTTTAGGTAATTAGGCCCCTTTTTAGTCCATTTTGTTTTCTGGGTGTGATTGCAACAAATTATTTTGCACCTTGGTTGAACTTTCCTTGAGCTGCAGACAGCATGGCGTTGATAAACGAATTTTGTTAGTTTGCTTTGCTTATTTTAAATAGAGAACTAGGTGGTGCAGGATGGCCAGGGATGTGAAATAGGGGTAGGGGTTAGAAGTGTTCCCAGGGACAAGGGCCAATGTTGCCTTTGGTTTTGCATAAACCAGACAACGCATCTAATAAGTTGCAGCTGTCGGTTGCCAGCCACCCTCTGCCACTTCTATATTCTATCTGCTTTTCTCTCGGCTAAAGAAGTTTAAAGTTTTTACTGGTCTCCCTGCCTAATGCCTCAAAGTGCAGAGCTGTGTTTGCCATTAAATGTTATTAGTTAAATGATAATTAACAGTTGGAAAACTTGCGAAATATCTCCAACTAATTTGCATAGCCAACTAATTGGCTTAGAGGGTCATTGCTTTTGCTATTTTTCGGCGCAATACCTTTTGGTTTTGCACGGCGAAAAAGGGCTTTGAATTTTGATTGACAGCTTATTAATTCAATTAGTTCTGATGTTCAAAGCGGGTCCATCCTGTATTGTTTATTGAACAATAGGTGTATTAAATAATAATTATTATAATATACTACTATTTACATTTTATGGTTTTTGTATAGCCTGTTAAACATTTTTAAATACACAAAATATTTAATTACTCGGAAAATGATTTGTAAACATGAAATGACAATAGAAAGAACTATCAGATACCCGTTACTCAACTAATGGAAAAGCGAGGGAGTTAATTGCTCATAACTTTGTAATGAATGGTCCGATTTAAAAAATTTAAGGTGGTTTAAGGTCATTGTGGGCGTTAGAGAGGGCGTGGCACCTTGATTACTTTCAAACAATCTCACGAATACAATATACCTTTTAGTCTAGGAGTAATGGGTATAAAAATGGTAAAGCAATCAAATAAAATCAGATGATTAAACAACTTTATGATTTAACAAAATGAGGAAATTCTAGTTAAACAAAACAAAGCATATAATTTAAAGAAAGGGAAATACATTTAAATTTTAAGGGCTATATTCTTTATATATTCGTGTAAAATATAAAACTAGTTGTTCTCCTTTTCCTGGCTAATGGATTACCAAATATCCAACATAAAATATATTTTTTTTTTGAGTGCCCCGATAAAATGGTAGCTTAGTTGCTCATAATTAACAAGCGCACACCTGCAGTTCGTCTTGCCCGACATCCTAATTCGAATGCTATTCATAACGCACACATCACACACACACACACACACACTGGCGCACAAGGAGCAGATCCTTGCCAGCCGCAGGATAGTTTGGCAAACGCTTCCTTGGCGCCTCCGCCGCCCCAAAAACTTTTTACTAATTTACATTCATTACACACATTTGCAATAAAACTAGAAACCCAACTCGTACACAAATTCAGACGCCCATGTGTGTACATAAAGGCTTCAAGGAGTATTTTGTAAGTGTGCATGTGTAGGTGGTACATACACATACTGACATACACACACAACTACATTGACACTTTACATGCTTCATTAGCGTGTAAGCGCGGTAATAATGAAATTTCCTTATGGCTGCATTTCCCAGGAATACGAAGGGCGGTAAGGGGGCGGTGGAAAACTCCTGCATATTGATGCAAAGTTTTCGGTGGCGCCGAAACTTGCGGCTATGTTACCACAAAATTTATGCTCCGCTCTTGGCACCTCTTT